GGGTTAGTTTGATAGCGAGGCAACAGTGAGGTTTAGGTAAAACCGGGCTGTACCGCAGGTGTAGAGCTGCAATTAAAGCCAGGCCCGGCTTCACCAGAGGACAGAAGCAGCTCTCCAGAACGGGGCGACCGTGGCTCCGAGTAACAGAAGACCCAGAGCCCCCTTTTCAGCTCCTTCCCAGTCGCCGTAGGGGCTGGGGGCACAGGGGGGTCACGAGCTGAATGAGCTTCAAAGCCACCGCGCCTGCCGCTGCTGCGCACACTTCACAGGCGCCGGTGCTGTTGGACCTGGGATTCTCCAAATTCAAAAGTCAAGTTTAACGATTTGAATTAACTTTTTTTTTTTTTTTTTTTAAATACATTCTCCTTTCAGGGACCGCTCCTACTGGGTAGTCCATTTGTTATCTGTCAGGGGCAGAGAGGTCGATTAATGCTTGTTTGGGCAGGACAAACATATTTTTAAGGCCTGGAGGAGCAGGTGAGAAAATGTTACGCTTCCCCCTGGGAGGCCAGTGGAGCCGCGGGATAAAGTCCTGGCAGGAAGAAAGATCCTCTCCATGAATTTAGCTTATGACACCCAGCTTCTAACACAGAGCCTTCTATGCTGCAGCCACAGTCTTAGCAGAGTAGGACAGGGGGAAAAAAAATATAGACTCCATTTCTAGGGGAAACAGCCGTATTTCTGTCCTCGGTGTGGCGCGGAGGGGCTCACCGTGTTAGCTGTCCATCGGCGGTCGATTCCTTTCCTACAAAGGGAAGCCATCCCCGAAGGACGCTGTTTCACCTCTGCACAACAGAAGAGCACAGGAGGAACCTTTTCCAGCAGCTCCCAGCTCCTTGAGAAAAGCGAAGATCAGCAGTAGCTTACGGATACGTTACAATATTTTTCAAACAGGGTGCAAATTAGACTTCCCATTTACCTGCCAAGATTCCAGTTCAGTCCTTTTCATTTCCCTCGTAAGAACAGCTGGCACAAGCAGCTAACACAGCAGGAAGCACGATTCCTTAAACTACTTTAAGTGTTAGTGACGCATACGTTCTAATCAAGAGTTGGCATCTTTAACATTCTTTGTATTTATTTTAAGAAAGCGTTTTAGTTAATCTAAGCAAGAATATTCAAAAGCTACTGCAAAGAAAATACATTTTTGTTTCTGCTTAAACTTTTCAGAAGAGACACTGAACGCTCTGCCAGCTCCTTCAGCAGACATCACTCGGTTACGTGGCCAAGCAACACAGAGCGAAGAATTACACACACATCCCCCCCAAAAAAAGCTCCAATTAAACCTCATCAGGACAATTTCTGTGCCATGGACAAGTGACACGGTGTTATCAGTGAGAAGCCAGGGCTGGAAAGGCAGTCAGCGTGCAATGGGGTGGAGGAACCCGTCTCCAGGCGGTTTCTGCAGGTTTCTTTGCCATCCTTGGAAAGGGCAGTCAGAGGACGGCAAGAAAAGGATGCACAAGGGTTGCTTTAAAAAGAACAAGTTCAGAAACTCCTCTACAACTGTGCCGAGCGCAGCCAAGTTTTCACCTATGCTACTTGCCGTGTAAAAGAACGCAAATATAAAAACACCGAAGGTTTGCATAAAAAATAGATTATTTTTTTTTGGTAGTTCTCCTCTTAAAATTACTGTACAAATAAATAAAGTTACTGTCCATTTAAATATAACTGTTTGGGAAAACTGGAAGGCAGCCATGGTCTTACTATCGCACAAC